AGCCCTACTGCCCTGTTACTGTTCAGATACATTTACTACAGGTTTCCAATTTTAAAAAGTTTAAACTGTTTCATAGCTAGTCATTCATAAGACCAACCACCTCTCCCTGAAATGCCTGGGAAGAGAAGACTTAAATCTGGGAAATCAGGAGAGGAAAAAAGAACAGTTGCTTTCCTACCTAAGGATTCCAAAGGCATTTATATCCCAGAGGTTTGGTTGCATGCCCACGCTGTTGGAGAGAGTAGCAGCTGCTGTGATCTTGCATCTGTAGTGTGCAAGTATTTGAGCTGGTGCCAACTGTATGGTGAAGTTTGAGCTCTAAGATTCTGAAGCTGTTGAAGTTAAATATTCTAGAAGCAAAAATCATCAGGTAAGAAATAATCTCATGTTTTATGACAAGCTACGTTGGTCCCAGTGCTTCCAGCTGGCTAACAGTGTTGGTTAGTAATGCAAACCTGGATGGTTTGCCAGCATTTGTTTATGATGTTAAGCAATTTAAAAGAAGGGAGTGCTGTATTAACCAGAATTTGTACGTAGCCATTGCTTGCGATCATGACTGTGAATGGTTGCTAACCCAATTATTTGGGTGAGGATGTTGTTTTTTTATGACAAGGATGTTGTTTTTCTTCTGTGAATGCAACGCAAATGATAGAAAATTCATGTAGAAAATTCATAGCACTGAGTGGAAAATGAAGAGTTTATGCTGTTAATGATTAAGAGCAAGATTGCATATTTCATTCTGTCAAAACAGCATCAGGGTAACAGTATGGGGTTGGCTTAAAATTAAGGAGGAAAAAAATAGGCTGTGTGATGCTTGTACCTCAGCTGTGGCAGTGCTGTAAGTTCCCACAAGAAAATAGAAGTGTAAGTATTGCTCTTTTTCAGCAGGTACAATCTTGGCTGTGCCTACAGACTTCTAGAGGGTCCTGACATTACGACTTGGCATGCCAGGAAAAGTCAGATGTACCAAACCCTCCTTAAAATCACTACACAAAGTCACGTGCTGTGGCTGGAGCCAATGCAGAAGAAACCTGCAGTCAGTTAAACACAACACAAATGTTTGTGAAACGTTTTTCATTTCTTGTGGCCCCTGGGAAATCCAAAATACACGAGAAAGTTAGAGAAATGCAATGGAGCACAGCAGGGAACTCAAAAGAGGTTTTTTGTCAACCAGTGTTGGTTCTGCAGGCTCCCTTGCCAGCATCATTGATGCAGTGTTATACAACCTTCAGAGGTCATTTTTAAATGCTGATTATTTGCTGCTTAGAAAGATATTCCCATGAAACAAATAGCAAATCATTTCCCCATTCGCCTTCCTTTGTAAGCAAGGTTTGCAGCTCGCAGGAGGCGTCTGGGGCACTGAGCTGCTCACCCCACATCCAGGTGATGTGTGTGTGCTACGAGCAGTGGTCCCTTGGCCAGTGGTCTGGTGCCACCAGAGCAAGTGATCCCACGCTGGGGGCCCTTCATTAGCTGCTTGTAGTCCCAGTAATGATCTGGCTGCAGAGCCTGACGGTAGCCTGCAACTTCTGGTGCCCTGAAGCTCAACAACGTGAGCTGATTGACTCAGTTAGGGCCCCAGTCTCTAACAGCAAATGCAATCAATAAATCTTTGTTGGTAAATAATTGCTATTGAACAGAGTTTTAATATAAATTTATGAGTGGTGTTTTATCACAGCTTGAGGCTACAGCAAGCCACTGAGTGATGGATTTCAGATAACACTTACATTCATTACATTAACTTTGTAAGTTATTTAAAGCTTGTACACTTAACATTGCTTTTGGCTTGCAATGACCTCCTGGGACTAGACGTGGCGTACACATTACTAATAAAGAGATTGCCATACACACAGGCAGTTCTCTGTTTTCTTTGTAGAGCGGTGCCATTCGCTGGGAAAAGTCAAGGAGTGAAGTTGGTGCTCTCTACTGGAGCGTGTATCTTGTCACTCGTTAGAAATGCAGCTAACACTGGCTGTTAGGAGCTGCGTTGCTCTGTTAGAGTCAGAATTGCAGTTTTGGAGAGAAGGTGGTAAGATTTGATTTGAAGTGTTAAATTCTTCTCAGTTTCTGAGCAAATCGGAGGTGTTACATTTGTAGTGTTGTATCTCGAGGGCTGAATGTAGTGCTAGAAGCACAGATGGAGGAACGTAAGCAAAGGTTTTGTATGGATTAGGAGAAATAATGTTATCTGATTGATAATAATATGAGAAGCAACATAGAATTTTGAATGTGGAGTTGATTCCCTTAATCCCTTTCTGCCTAGCTGTAAGGCAAAATGGGATTTTTGCTGTGTGCTGGGGCTGGGGCTTGCCAAAGGCACCAAGAGTCGGTGGGAACCAAGGTCCCTCTCGCTTCATAGACTTGTAGAATCACTCAGGTTGGAAAAGACCTCTAAGATCTCCAAGTCCAACGCCAACCCACCCCACCATGCCCTCTGCCCACGTCCCTCAGTGCCACATCTCCACAGTTCTGGAACACCTGCAGGGAGCCCCAGCACTCCTTGGGCAGCAGTGCCACTGCAGCACTGCTCTTTCTGGGAAGAAATTGTTCCTAATAGCCAACTCTGCTTCCAGGCAGAGAATCTGATGCAGCTTAAAAGTGGATATAATGTGACAGAAGGTGTTTTTTTGTTGTTGTTTTGTTTTTGCGTTTCTTTTCTATCAGTAGCATTTCTTGTTGTACTTAGGCCATTTTTCTTTTTTTTTCTTTTTTTTTTTTTTTAAGTTTAGTGTAAGTGCATTTACAGCAGATCTAAACTCCGATACTAAGAGCATTTCTCCGGACCATTCTATGTAATTATCGCAGACAAAGTGGCAGTTCTGGCCTTGGGGGGATAAAAGAAGAAGTGTGGCTGATGTGCTCCTCTGCTTCATAACACTTTGTTAGCTCCGTGTATTCACAGTGCTTTTCTTCACAGATGTTGGAGGATATAGTTTGGTTCTCAGATAATACAAAAATTATATTATTTTATGCATCCTTAAGAAACAGATCAGGAAGTCTAATTGGTTAGGTTGATACAAATAGTAGATGGTGCATATTTAACAGTGAGTCAGTTTTTACATGAGAGCACCAAACTGCACTTCAGAAGTGAGATGGAAACCCCATTCTGAGTAACTAGTTCCTTATTTAGTTCCCAAACCAGAATTTCGTAGTTCACACCTAGGTACAGAATCACAGAACGGCCAGGGTTGGAAGGGACCTCAAGGATCATGGATCTCCGACCCGCTGCTGCATGCAGGGCCACCAACCTCCACATCTCATAGCAGCCCAGGCTGCCCAGGGCCCCATCCAAGCTGGTCTTGAACACCTCCAGGGATGGACGGGGCATCCACAGCCTCTCTGGGCAGCTGTTCCAGCACCTCACCACTCTCATAGCAAAGAACTTCCCCCTGACATCCAACCTCAATCTTTCCTTCCTCAACTTAAAACCGTTTCCCCTAACAAAATCACCATGTAGTAAAAATCATTACGAATTTTCTATGTGAATATCCTATTATTTGCATCCTGTACACAGCAGAAAAAAAACGTATTTGTCAAAAAAACATCCTCCTGCAAACAGTGGGGATGGCAGCCATTCATTTAGGTGGTTTCTTCTGCAGTGTGTGGAGTTTGTAATTGGCATGAACTCCAAATTACATAAGTAGTGATATGTTTTCTTTATAGCACTGAGCGGTAAAAAGGTGTGAAATACATTTCTACTTTCTTCAAGACTTCAAAAAACAACAACAAAAAAAGGCAAGGAAAAAGGAAAGACAGTCGTGATTCTTATGGCTTTTTCCCCATTAAAAGGTCTGAAGAACAAACGCGCCAGAACCGGCACAGGGAAACAGCTTTGGGAGAGTAATTTTTGATCCATATAGCATGGCTATAACTAAAATTGGGTGCCCCTACATGTGAGCGACTGTGCTATAGGTGAGGTTTAAAAGATGGGAAAGGTGAAGTGACAGATCACCTACTATAGACAAACATAGGAGTCAAAGGCAGAAATAAGCTTTCATTTTTAATGGAAGAAAACAACGTCTCCAAGCACGAGAAGGCAGTAATTGGAATGTGTAACTCACACTTGCAGAAGCTTTTGTGAGAAACAGTTTCAGAAGCCCCGCTCTGTTTTGTAAAAGTTTGAGGTTGAGCCACCTAGATGTAGCAAAGAAGGGCACACAAAAAGGAACCTGACCCCCAGATGGCCAGAAAGTTCGGGGTTTGTAATTCAGTCCTCTGAGACAAGCTTTTATTTACAGTCCTATCTGCAGATCGCTTTGAGTTGAGAAGGGCTGCTCACTGAAGTTCTGTTCCAAGCCTGTGTCCAGGAAAAGGCGGTTGTGAGCTTTGATTTCCCTTAGGGATCATCTCCGTGGTTGCAGAAGGAGAGTTATTAGTTCCTGTGGGCTGTGGCAAGGGACTTCAGCTGAAATTTGCAACAGCTGGCATTGAGGGAGGGAAAAATGTGCTCGGGGAGAGCTCTCATCGTGCGAAGGCACAGAAGTGCCCCTTGTCCACTTGGCCTTGGGACGTGCATTTACGAAACAGATGTAAGTGAATGCTTTTATGCAAACCTGATCTGTCAGAGTGCTTCTTGTGGCAGTACCGTGTGTGCTGAGATGTCCTGGTGCCCACAACACTAGGCTTCCCACAGCAGCTTACTGCATGAGTTCATCAGAGAGCTGCCTTCTCACGTGGTTTTGGAAACGCAGATTGTTTGGTTTACCATCACTTTGTGCTGTAAGCAGCTACATTTTGCTTTTCTAAATGAATTTCTGCTTTTAAGCTGGCAACAGCTTGGTACACACACTTGTCTGTTCAAACACAATGATGACTTTTACTCTCAAATACTGATGGTTGAAATTCATCACCGATGTGTGGATTGAATATTATCTATGGAACAGTGAGGCATCTTGTCGTGTTAAAGTCTGCCTTCCTGAGGAACGCACAAGGATTTAGCTCTTTTCTGTGTATGAAATAATGGTTAATGGTTTTTTTTTTTAATTTTTTTCCTGCAACAGGGTATGCTGCTAAAGCGAAGTGGCAAGTCATTGAATAAAGAGTGGAAGAAGAAATACGTGACGTTGTGCGACAACGGCGTGCTGACCTATCATCCTAGTTTACATGTAAGTGCTCCGTGCTCTCTGTACCTTCAACAACTGTCCAGCTCAGGTGAAGCAGTGTTAGCAAGTTCGTTTGGGTATGTTTTTGTTGAGTCCAGTTTGGTGGAGAGAGTTCTTTCTCTCACTTTATTCCATTCCCATCCCCTCAGAACTGGGTAACTGGAAATCAAATTCTGCGGTGAAACTCTGTGTGCACAGTTCCTCCAAGTGCCCTGTTTAAGCCTTTATTTTGTGCTGATGTCCTTATGGACTTGCTGTCAATTAAGAAAACTATGGAAGCGTTTTATAAGGAAGAATGTTCTAGACATAGTTAAGACAAAGTACGTTTTCTGGTATTTGTCAGTGTGCAATGGTTGTGGTTTATTCAGAAAGTAATCCTGAACAGCCTTTTGAAAATGACAAAGCTATTAAAATGTGCCATAGAGCATTTCCACATTAAGGTCTCTGTTGTTGTCTCTGCCCAAGGATCTTGTCTGTGTGTAGAACACCATCTGTGGGTTTGGTCTGGGGGAAAAGGAAGAAGCACAGGTGTCTGGCTCAAGACTAGCCCAGCCCATGAGTCCCAGCCATGTCAGCAGGAGAAGGGATGTGATTTGTCAGAGCTCCTTCCATTCCACAGCAATTCAGAAGACAGAACGGACAACCAGGATTTTGAGCTGGGGATTTCCCAGCTCTTCCACTTGCTCGGTATTACAGGCAAGAGTAGAACTTAGGAAGCATAATAAGAGCATAGTATGGCCTTCACCAAGATCTTTGGGATTGTCCTGGGTTTTATATTTCATCACCATATCCCCTATGGAAATCAGAGGGTGACCAGGTGTAACATTTTAGGGCCATTTGACACCGATTGCTGTCATTTTGAGTTCCTAGGCAATTTTATTTTTATTTTTTTTTTCAATAAGGAGGTAAATTCAAGGTTTTGAATGGATGTATTTCTGTGGGTACGTTGTTGACTTTGCATGTCTGGATCTGTCAGAAAGCTGCTTCAGGTAGATGATGTCTCAGGAGCGTGGCTGTGCTGATGCTGTGCTTGCACCAACTTGCTGTTTCCTGAGGGATGAATATTAGGATTTTCTCTGGCTTACCGCAAGAATTCAATCTCACTTCTTGCCATAATTACAGTTTCTCATGTTATTTCCTTATTTCCTAAAAATTAGTAAGCGATACAACTAGCAATTCAAGCAATTGCTACTTCCCTTCTGAAGCGTTGCCCCTCAGCTTGTGTAGTGCAGGGCAAGTTATTGCTGAGTTTCTCTTTTCTCCCTTTCACAAACCTGGACAGGACTGTCTGGCCGTTGTGGCCATCCTTACCCTGTTTAATGTGGGGGAATGCTGCTGAGAAGCAACCCTGAAATACCTGAGTCGCCTATGGGTATTGCTGGCAGCACGGACACCGCGTGCCTTTGAGGCAGCCCACATGGATCCTCCAGATGCGTTCCCTTGAGGCTGTGATGGCCACTCCGGGGCAGAGCAGGGAGCAGGCAGGCTGCCTTGTCTGTGCCCACATCCCCTCTGTGCTCTGTAAGTGCTCTATTGTTCCTGAGCTTCCTGGGAACATATGTTAGTTTTTCATTGCTTCTCGCAGACAATAGAGTACTTCTCTCTAGGCTTCGCTGGAGCTGCTTAGTCTTCCCCTGAGTGAGAATCCATTGAGATTAGAGGTAATTACTTTGAGATTAGAGGTAAATCCATTGGAGATTAGAGAGAATCCATTTAAAGAAGAAGTAATTACTAGCCTGTAATTGTTTCCCTCTATCCCCCACTGTGCCCCCCCCCACTCCCAAGAAAAAGGTACACGTCTCTGTATTTCCAGTTGCTCACACCTTTCTTAGATCAGAGGGGTTTGTAACACACTGTTTTTCCCTGGGCTGTATTTTGGTGGGTAGTAGTGGGGGATCGTACAGCTCCTAGCTGACAGGATGCTGCTGCGGACAGCCTAGTGCTTGTTCTGAGTCTTCTGCAGACACCTGTGCTGAACTCACACCCTAGGAATATCTGTGCTTCTGCTCATTCGCGTTACAGTCTTCCTGTGATGTGATTTGTATTATAAATGATGCGTCTTAATGTTTTAATGCCATTGATTTTAGCCTTCCAAGAGTCACTGTGCTACTTGAGTGCATTTCATTACTGCCAGTGAACTACTTTGTGTCGGATAGCTGTCCTTAATATACCCTGCAGAGCATTCTTTATGCATTGGGCAATTTGTCCATCCATCAGTTACCATATTTCCCTTTTGCACCTTGCAGTTCCTGATACTGTTGCTGCTTGCTTTGACTTGTCCTTATGAGTTAGAAGCCTCCACCTGAAAAACAGTGCAGGGCTGACCTGGCAATTTTGTCTTAGTATCACCTTATTGCTTCTCTGTCAGCCTCCTCTGCTGGGGCTGGAAGCATGAGTAGTTTTTTCCCTGTCCTGTACAACCTGCAGTGGAACAAAGAGGTAGGACCAGATGCTGCAAGTCAGTCGGACTCCCAGTACAACTTGTACAAAGCTTTGTGGGTAAGGGAGCAGGAAAGTCAGGATTTTTGCTTGGAGATTACCCAGCATTTGGCTTTCCTCAAACAAAGCTCTGATAAGGTGTTTTTGGCTTGACTTTGCTAGGTTTTGCTGAACTCTCTCTACTTGTTGCATTTGTTCACACTGAACTCAATAAGCTGATGAATTTCTAATGCCGTGGTTGTATTGCTGTTTGCTTTTTGACAAATAAGACCTTATTCCTACCAACCTCCCATCAGATAGGATGAAATGAAGAGTTAGCCATCCTAACTTTTGTTAGCCATCCATCTGAACTCGTGAAGAGTCGTGGTGCTAATCTCATCCTGTGAGATAGATAGGTGTTATTTCAGGTCTGCAGCTAATATTGGTTGTTCAACATTTGGCAGCTGTAAATCTGTGAAGTGAGTGGTGGATCTGGCCTCTAGTGGTGGTAGGAAGGAATAAATTTAAAACATAATTTAGTCTTCCCAAATCGTAGCTTGAGTCAGAATGCAGAATGTTACTGAACCCCAACGTTGGAAGAAGCTTTTACAATATTTAATAGCTGTTAGTGGGTACTGTACTTAGATACTGCTTGAGACTTGGCCACCAGCGTGTCAGTTTTCTGTTGGGTGTGTTCCACAGCACGTCACGCACGAAGACAGTGGCTTTTAATACAGCAAATAGTCTGTGTTGCAAAAATCAGTGCTGTTGTCCTCTTAACTTGAGGATTGGCTTCAGAATGCAAGGATTTGGGATGGGGTGTGGAAATCAAACTGGTATCCTACTTACAGAGGAGGTATCTGTGGAAGGGTCAGGCCTGCTTGGCAGCACAGCGTGTAGAAATGAGTGCTGTGTTGTGCCTGCTAAATAAGTACGAGTGCTGCCAGGTTGACGTTTTACACAATAGCTAAATTCATATTCCTTCTTCTTAAGAAAGCGGGGGAAGAGAAGAATGGGGAAAGAAAATATATGTACATAAGCACCCTACTGTTTCCTGACTTGGTCATGTCAGTTTTTTTCAAGAGCCTTAAACCTTCCCTTCCCTTGGGATGCTGAGGAGCTGTGGCAATAGAAAATGGTGGGGATAATGAGAGAGAACTTTGACCCGCAGGCTTCAAAGTTCACCATAGCTACCTATTCATCATACACTTCTGGAGTATAGCCATTGAGTGGATGACTAAAATTCTGGCTGACAGATTCAGCATCAGCCTACCCAAAGAGACCCATGGGAATTTGTCTAGGCATCTCTTGGCTTTTAATGGCAGAATGCCATGTGTAAGGGCTCCTGAAATGTATTCGCCAGGATACCTGCTGGGCAGTGCTGCACTCAGCTTCTTTATCTAAGTCTTATCCTGATGAATAGATGGTGTTTCACCACTGTCTGTCTCCCGGACACTTGCCACCATGCCACAGGTCAGTAGATGACAAAAGCTTTAGCTGTGGACGTCCATTTTCTGCTGTTGCATCCTCATCATCGTCGCTGCCCCTTTTTTTATTTGGGGGGGGAACTGCCACTGCCAGGGGGTGTAAAATGGTAGCAGTGATTGAGGGGGAAAATCTGTCCTTCATCTCTGTGAGAAGGATGTGAATTCACACATGTCATTCTGCTCAATTAGTCTGACAGTAGCCACAGTTTTAAAACTCTTCACAGCAGTGCTGACTGGGTGGGCAGCCCAGGTGCGCCGCCTCAGAGGTCACATTAGTGGCTTTTTGCAGTCAGATAAAGTGAATGTACTTCAACCAAACAAAAGAAATTTCAGCCTGGCAAATAGACTGTACTTTGCACAAGGGCTGCAACAGTATGCAATAAGGACACATCTTCTTAGAAGTTGATGTAACCCAGGCCCAGCTCCGGGCTTGCAAAAAGCTTTGGAGCTGTGTGGTGGGGTCTGGCCTTTCAGTAGAGCTTTCTTGCTTGGACACTTCCTTAAGGAAGAGTAACCTTGCTGAGAAATAGAAGGCGGGTTAAAATGCCCTGTGCATAGGTGTCTTGTAGTTTCTCACCGTGTTTAGTCCTTACAATTATCCTGAACAAATTGAGGGTCGGGAGCTTGCTTGCAAATCGGGGCATACGTGTGACACTTAGAGGTTGGTCCTCTACCTTGTAGCTTCCTGGCAAACTCTTTTATTTCAAGTTTGAGAGAAGGTTTATAAAAATAGATGGGAAAAATGCAAGCTAGAATGTGTTTGTGGTCCTTAAGTGAGATGTATAACTGGGGATAGCTGTCAAGGCAAATTATTCTGACCCCCTGGCTTTGTGTCCTCGGACTAGAAACTGTCTTGCTTGGAAGTGCCGTTGCACCACAGTCTTCAGTGGGAATAAAACTAGTTAGGGATGGTCAGCAGTGTGAAGTAATCCTAAAATATGCAATCCCTTTCTGTGCTAAAAGAGAGGAAAACTGGTTGTTCAGAGCGGCTTACAGTCACATCTGTGATTCATTGCAGGTGTTCACAGGTCGGTAAATGCAAGGAGAGTGTGAAGCATTTGTCCTTAAGTCCGTTTGATTCAGAGGGCAAGATTTGTC